GGGGGGGAGGAGAGAACGGCGAACACGGTGGCATGTCCTCACATGCAAGGTGTACCGGCGCAGCTGCAGAGCTGGGGCCATCACACCAGTCTAGAATACAGCCTTCTCGTCTTGAGCCTAGAGAAAAAGAAAGTCCACACAGCGGCCACTGCTGTAGACTAGACTTGTCGAAGGTGAGAAAGATAGACTACGCACAACAGCAGCAGCAGTAGTAGCAGCAGCAGCGGCACCGCGACAAGCCTCTCCTTCCCGCACATCAATTCCGTGTGTGTGCTGCATAAAAATCATGTATATCAGCATGCGAAACTGCTCTTGAAGCAACGTGTGCATACTGCCTACATGAACAAGGATCCCAAACAGTAGCCAGCGTACACGACAGCAATTGCGCGTTCATGTTGCAGTGGTCCTCTGCGGAGACAACGCGCTGCGGGAAAACTCGATTTTTTTTATATCACGGCTATTTGGGACAACGTTGTCCCAAATAAAAATTTGGGACAACACGTCTAACTCGGCGTAGAAAGCTCGGATCGACCTCAAACCAAGTTTGTTGTAATCCTACTGGACACAGCTTTCACGGAATGTATTTTGAGTCCACAACGAAGCCGGGGACGAGGAGATAGAGCCTTAATTGAAAGCTGTGTCCAGTAGGATTACAACAAACTTGGAGCCGGGGCCGAGGAGATAGAGCCTAAAAAAGGGGCTCCGTGGCTTCGGTAAATCCACGTTTTCCTCTATAACAAGGAGCCCCTTTTTTAGGCTCTATCTCCTCGGCCCCGGCTCCGTTGTGGACTCAAAAGACATTTCGTGAAAGCTGTGTCCAGTAGGACTACAACAAACTTGGTTTGAGGTCGATCCGAGCTTTCTACGCCGAGTTAGACGTGTTGTCCCAAATAGCCGTGCCGTTTTTTTTACAGCAGCAGCAGAACTCTGCCTATTTGGTCACGTCGTGCACAGCTTTCACGTCGTGCACAGCAGCTCAAATGTAGAAACAAGCTCACAATCCGTCACGCAGCAGCTACTACCGACACCACACCACAACCCTGTGTTGCTCACCTGACTCGTCCGTGTTCCAGACATGGTCGGCCGCCGGCTGGTGCTCGTCGAGGAACTGGCCCCAGAAGTCGTAAAACTTGTGCAGACGTTCATCCTCCACGCAAGTCATCCTGTTGGACTCGTAGATGCGGGCGAGTCGAAGGCTGATGCGCTCGTGCCGTCCGAGGAAGCCCTCAAGCCAGCTCCTCCCCGGGCCCTTGTCAGGGGTCCACGGGATCGGTCGACCGTCGTTGCAGAGCTGTCTCACACGCTCCGTGAGGTCTGCGGTGGTGAGCGGAATATAGTTCCGAGCAGCGTACAGCAGAACACCTTCAAGCGCATCCTCCTCTCCTGCGGTCATGACAGTCCCGGGGCCCACCCGTGCGCCCATGGCACACTCACCGCTCAGCCGCCGCGAGAGCGACGTCTTGCTGACACCGTAGGCAGCAGCAGCAGCGTTGCGTGACATGCTACAGCTGCGGACCGCTTCACAGGCCTTCGTAGCAGCCTCCGCGCTCACTCTACACCGACTACTCCGATCCATGATTCGCAGCAGGAGGCCAACGAAGGCGAACATGCGCCGCATCGAGACTGCTGGTGGGCGCGTTGCTGTAGCTCGGTGCTGCGTGCGCCGATCGGCACGCTGAAGTGCTCAAACGAAAGCTAACGGAAAGCTTATCAAATTCAAAAAAGAAACAGGGGGGGCTTGCGGATCGTGTGCCTGGTATGCCCGTTTCAAAAAAGTGGTCCCTAATGGGGGGGTGGTCCTTAATACCCACACTTACTCACTCTACTGCACTGATTATTTTGCTGGGTGTGTTGTTGTGTGTTTGTGTTTTTATTATTAGCATCGACCGCGCTAACCGGCTGACCAATTAAAAGACGTCAGTGCCAGCGGGTAAAAATCAAGGTCCCTGGAAGGAGGCCAAAATTCGAAAAATGCGCAATGCGCTTGATGCGAATGCCAATACGACTCTCTCTACATGTTCTTTCACGAAGACACACATCTCAGCTACACTCATGCCCTCGCCCGAACCTAGGAAGCCACTGATGCAAAGAGCGGAGGACAGCAAAAGGGTTATTTCAAGCCCAGCCGAAGCCAGGATATCGTGGTATGCTGCATCTCCCAATTTGATGATCGTACACTCCCAAGATCCAACAGTCATCGTGTCAGCAGCTAGATGACTCAAACAAAATAGCAACACATACACGGCCATAG